GCCATTAGGATCTTGGCCACCATTTCGGGAGTATGAGCAAACAGAGGAAGAGGAAGAGGAAAAGGAAATGCTACATCAATGCTTTGCAGGAGCTTTGTGTGCACCCAGTATGTCTCTGGTTCTCCGATCTAAATTGCACAATAGTTCCACACCTGACCATGTCCTTGGCTGTGAAGCATTAGAGTGCCTTTTTGGCCACAGTCCTCAAATAAAAGCCACCAACAAATATCTATTCAGCAAAGCACCTAATATTCTGTACAAACTCAAATGATCATCTTTGTGTAATTGCTTTATGCTTGTGACAGCCAGTTTTGCAACATAAGTTCCCAGAACAGTGGTGTGATAAAAATCAGAAAATCTATTTCACTGATATTGGCCATGGATAAATATTCATCAGAATACCAATGATCTCACCCCGGCCTTTGTTTAAAACACATCTATGAGATATATTCTGTTTGCCTGTGAGGGCAGACAGGGTCTCTGTTTAATATCTCAACTGAAAGGTGACGTCTGGGGTTTGGAGTCTCCAGGTTAAAGTCTCCTCCAAGATCTTGAGCACAAAAGGAAAGACTGACACTTCCTTATAGTTCGAGTGTTGTCTTTTGGCTGAGATGAAAAGACTCCATCAGCCTCCTTGGGTGGATATAAAGATTCCGTCTTTAAATCTTTAAAGATTTAAAGAGTATGCTGAAGAAATGTGAGGGCATTTTAATGGTGTCCAGGCCAATAATTACCCCTCAAATGGTTGTATAAAGTAATGGTTCTAAAAGATGCAGTGTTGAAGTTGCATTAGTGCCGAGCTGCCAGTCTTTCGGTGAGGGAACAGTCATTCACAAGGTCCTGAATGAGTGGACATGATGTACCTGGCTCTGGGTATTTGTTATCATACTGACCTAGTTAATGTTAATTGTACTTACTGTTATTATGTAATAAACTGACCTAGCTGTGCAAGACATATGTCTCTTCTTGTTAAGACTTCCTTGTGCCTATCCTTTATCACAGATGATTTGACTCAGCACCAAAGAAAGAGATTGGTGACAAGAAACTACTCAAACTGCATGCTGCGAGTGATTTGTGCCAGAGTCAAATATGACACAAACTAAATCATGGAATCAGATTATCTGGACATTTGCGGTTTTTAAGAGTATGCTGTGAGGAAATTGGCTGCTATGTTTCCTACATTACAACACTGATTATACTTCAAAAGTACATCATTAGCTGCGAAGTGCTTTGGGACATCCAATGGTCACGGAAAGCACTATATAAATGTAAGCTTTGCTCTTTCTCCAAAAATGGAGCACTATCTCAGCATTGCACTGGTCAGACTAGATCCTTGTGCTGACACATCTGGAATGAAATGTAAAGTCCTAATCTTTTGATTCAAACTGAAGTGGGCTACTCACAGACACAATGATGCTGAGAACTAACAAAAAAAGGATGATATACTCAATGAGCTGGATTTTTTCAGTTCTGTCACAATGCCAACAAATGATCCAGTTTCAGGTTGGGAACACTGAAGTGGCCAATCATGGAATGTTGGGTGTGATCCTTCCTGAAACTGCCCCCTGGTGGCCACAAAAGCAGAATTTGCTGGAAAAGCTCAGCAGGTCTGGCAGCATCGGTGAAGAAAAAAAATCGGAGTTAACGTTTTGGGTCTAGTGACCCTTCCTCAGAACGGGTCACGTCCAGGTAAGGGCAGAGGATGGACCAGGAAAATGAGCAAGGTCAGCAACTCAATAACATCTAACCAGCAGTCTCACTGTGGGTAGTGAATATCACTGAGATTGTTGGGTGTTTATAGAAAAATCAATAAATAAAGAGACCTGAAGCAGCATGACCATTGGGGTGGAGGGGAAACCCTTCCTGAGGAATCAAGATGTATGAGTAAATCCCTATGGCCAGTCTTTGTCTTCAATAGCCTGTTAACCTGACGTGGGGAAGAAAGCTCCAGTGAGCTCAGCAGGAGAAGAAGTAGGTGCTCCAATGATGGGAAAATACCATTGCCATCACAATATAAGCCATCAGTGGGTCCCCAATTGCCCTAATTGATTACCTGCCAGTGTGGTCCCAGCCTACTGTTGTCAAAAGTCCCTGAATCTGAGAATGCATTGAAGAGTCATCCCAACCTGGCTGACTGATATTTTCTGGTATTCCACCTCACCTCACTGTAGCACCAAAATTTCAGCACAATGTTTCTATGCTATCATGGTAACTTTAACCATCAATTGGTTGGCGATCGGGGATGGGGATGACAATGCCTGTTTAACCATTTAATATAATGCAGGCTGTGCCCAAGATTAGTGATGTCTAAGTCTAATTATGATCATGAAACATGCAGACCAAGATTGAATGCACCAGTGTGGGGTTGCAGACCTGAGCAGGGGCCCCAAGTTAACCTGAAGTTAGCACATTTAGCACAAGTCTGCCCTTCGAGAAAATGAGGAATATTTTGGAAACAGTCACAGCTAGGCATTGTTGATTTTAAAGAACAAGACAAACTTGAAAACTGACACAACAGGCTTGAGAGCATTCCCATCATTATTCAATGTTAAACTAATGATCTTGGTGTGCAGGTGCATAAGAGGAAAGAGGATTTCTTTCATCAGGGAATGAATAGACAGATTACTAAGAAGGCAGTGGAAGCAATGACAATTGATGTCGATGGCAGCTGTCTAGTCCGGAGGTCCTGAGAGCAATGCCACAAGAAGTTCAGTGATTTCACTCATGCTCAAGGTCAGCGAACGCATTTTGTCATGCTATATCCTACCAACAGTATCACTGGCTTCCCACACAGCTCTGTTCACCACACACCTTGACTCGCCTACCAACAAATTCTATAAACCACGATTCACACCTCTTATAGCCTCACAAACTAAGAGCTGCAGCAAGTGTCATTCTCTCATCACATGGTGTGTATGGATTGCCAGGTATTCAACTGTGCAGGCACACCGTCCAAAATATACAACACGCTAACTGACAAAATGCTAGGGGGAGGCTGTGATCAAAAACAGTAGTAGGTAACTAGCAGAAACAGGCCAGAGCTGCATCTGTTCGCCCTCACAGAGTACATGGTGTGTAAATCACTAGAATGGCTGTCACAGACATCCAGAGGAAAGGCAGAATTCATTGAGGATAATGGTTTGCTCTGGCCTTATGCACCCCCTCACATTCAATTTCTTCCTAATCCCACGATCTGTCATCATTTACAATTCACATATAAATAAACCATTTTTGTATTCCCCATTCCTTCACCCTGACTCTTCCCTTGTAGTTTTCTGCTTCCTGATCAGGCATTTGGCCAGAAGTTGAAACACCAACCCTCTTTCTGACTCTCGGCCACCAGCTGAGGCCACTGCAGTAGCAATCTATAGAAGCACTAGGGCAGTCAAAGACTTCCTAATTAGGAAGTTTGGTACATAAGTAACAACCTGTAGCACCGTTTCCAGCACATGCACAATTGTTCCTGACATTTTCCCTGTCAGCGAGTGGCAGAACTTTGTTTAAGGAAACGGGGCCATTGCGCTTCAAAATAATGAACGATACTTCTTGGATCTCAGGCCTTGTATGAATCTCAAACCTCAGAACTTATGAATGAGCATACCAGAAAAACACAGAGTTTCTACACAGCCGGGTTAGATCAGTTTGTAAATTGTAGGACTTGTTCTCACAAGTTTGATATTTTGAGCTTCACAGGTATTTTAATAAATCCATGATTTATTTTAGATATTTTAATAAATTTTGCTTAAAGTTTTATCTGGCTCCTGGGGAAAAGAATACTCATGGGCATCCTGAATTACACACTGCAATAACTATTGCAAAAGCAGTATTGCTTTATTTAATATTTTGCTAGTCTTTAATTTAAAGAAAACTCTGCCATTGATAAAGCTTCAAAATGTTTATTAGTAAGGGCACAATTACAAGACACCAACTTGCAAACTCTCACTTTAAACAGGAACAGACTTTGAAAGATGACACTACATTTGTGTTTGTGCAGGATGTGTTGCTC